CGACGCGGATTTGTCCGAGAAGTGTTCTATGTAGTCGCTCAACGCTTCCTTGACTGTTGCTGCTGTAGGATGGTGAATGTCGTACAGTCATTGAGCCGACTTTAGATGCTGTTGCTTGTAGTAGTGCATTGAGTGTGTCTTCGTTGTCGCTTTGTAGTATGCCGTGTGTTCTTCCGCATTCAAAGATGAATGCTTGTAGGTTGTTGATCATGTAGTCCATCATTGATGGTTTGTCCGGAACCAATACCGCCATGCACAGTTGTGTAGTAACATCAACTGCCGTTAAGACTGGTATGGTCTTCGGATCTTGTTGTGATTTGATGTAGGCAAAATCCACTTGGATGATGGGTTGTCGTGATTGTTGTTTCTTGTAGTTGTCCTGGCGTCCTTTGCCTTGAACGCAAATTGGACACCAATTTCTGTATGGTAGGTGTGTCAAGTTGTGTTCTGCTATTTGTTGTGGAGTGGGCTGCTGAGGTTGTCGTAGTCCTATTGCTCTGTGTGCTTCATGATGCTCGTGTTGTTGTTCCTCATCGTGGTTCTCCTGGATGTACTCGTAGTCTTTCTTCACGGTGAACCTTGTTGTTCCTTTCCATTGAAATGGTAGTGCTGCGTTGCCCATGACTGTCCAGTCATCTTTGCGTTGGAAACTTCTCCAAAGTTGTTGTGAGTGATTGTAGTTCTGTGAGGTTCGAGTGTGCTGATTGGTGGATGTCCTGGTCCATCTGTTGGAGTGAATAGAGTTGTTCTAAGTGATGTGTGGTGTCTTATCCAGTGTTCACCTTGTCTTTCCCAGTAGTCTTGGTTGTCCTCCTGTGCTGTGAGTGGTCTGTGGATTGTCTCCTTTGGTTGTGCGGTGTCAAGATTTGTAGAAGGTGCTGCTTTAGGTCTCCGTATCTTTTGTAGTGCTCGTAGTTGGATCTTTGATCTGGTTGGTGGCGTGTCCATTAGCCGTTGTGGTTGTGAGCTCTGCCTTGTTGGCGTTGTCTTTGATGTTGCTCTGCGTGTAGGTGTTATCTTTCTTCTGAATCTGGTTTCTCCAGTCCAGTTGTCACCTTCTAGTCTTCGTTGTAGTTCTTGCTTGGAAAGTTGTGTTGGGTTCTCTTGTAGTTGTTCTTGCTCTTGCCCTTGTCTGTTGATGATGGTTAGTCGCCAATCATCTAGTTCTTCTTCAGGTATTGGGCAGCCACTGTTGTGTGGTGTGAATAGTGCTTTGCGTGGTCGTTTGTGTACTCTGATGGCGTAGTCACCATCAAGTTTCCAGTAGTCAGTGTTTCCACCAAGGATCTGTCGTAGTCCTTGGTCTGTGTGTGTGAGTGGTGCGATTTGTTCTTGTTGTTGTGCTGCTCTCTCTGTAGGTTGAATCACAGCAATGGATTTTCCACTGTCTGTAGTCATTGGATAGATGTCGAATCCTGTAGGGATGTCGATCTTCTCTGCTCGTAGGTAGAAAAGTCCTGAGTGTCTGATGAGGTGTGCTTGTTGTTGTCCATGTGTGATGGTGCAGTGTCGTGGAGTGAAGTCAAGTCCATATCCTCTATCAAGTAGTCTTGATGCACTGAGGATTGGGTACTTCACATCACAAACGTAGTAGGGTATCATGATCCTGAAGTTGTCCTGCTTGTAGGGAACGTACTTGATGCCGTAGACAGGAATCTTCTTGTTGGTAATCGTGTAGAGTTGTGGAACCGATTCTCCACAAGGTCGTAGCGGTAGGTCTGGTGCGTAGTCCTTCGGGCAAACGTGTGTAGACGCTCCTGAGTCGATCAGCAGGTGGTGGTATGACTTGAAGTTGGAGTACATGATGTAGTGTGTGATACTGTTCTCAATCTTCTTGTTCCTTTGTTGTTGTCTGGCTGCTGCTATATCAAAGTGTGGCTGTGTGTTGTCTTCTTGTAGGAATTGTTGAAAGCTCTTGCTGTGGTCGTTCCATGATGTTGTGTGTGTTGTTCTCTTGCCAAGTAGTGATTTGTGCTTGTGTAGTCGTGAGTTTGCTTGTCTGATGTGTCCAATTGTGAAGTGTGACTCGTTGATGCCTCCAATGTAGTTTGCAGTGTCCTCATAGCTGTTGTCACTCCAATCCCAGCTGTTGTCATAGTCGTAGTCGTTCCAGTTCTCCTCCATGTAGTTCACCTCGTGTTGTCCTTCTTCTCCTTTTTAGTACCAGTCCCAAGTGTCGTGCGCATCCTGAGGTAGTTCTTCATTGTTGTCGTGATCTGCTTGTTCTTGTTCTAGTGGATGTAGTTCTTCTCCTTCTCCTATGTGCCATACTGGCACTCTGCAGTCTTGTGCCCAGTGGCCTGGTTTGCCACATCGATGGCATGTTGTGTAATTGTTGTTTCCTTTTTGATTTGCTGTAGTTTCCTTGGCCTTTGTAGCCTTTGCTTGATCCATGTCCTTTGGATCCTGAGTAGCCTTTTCCTTTGTTCTTGTTGTATCCTCCTTTGTTGTAGTTTCCTTTGCTGCCTTTGTCGAATCCTTTGTAGTGGCCTTTGCTTCTGTACTTACCTTTTCCTTTGTTTCCTTTGTAGTGTCCTTTGCCTCCATATTTGCCTTTGCCTTTGTAGTTTCTTCCTTTTCTCCAAATGTTGTCCACGTCCATCGGTGCTGTCCCACCATTGTAGTTTGTGCCAACTGCTGAGCTCGCTCTTGAGAATGCAGAGATGGTTTTGTAGTAGTCCAGGATGACAACTCTGATCTCGTTGTAGTTCGTGATCTGTCCAGCACGTAGTTGGAGATGCTGTTGGGGTGCTCCTTTGGTCTTGTTGAGTAGTATTGCAATCTTTACTCCATCTGGTAGTGCTGTGCCGTTGTCTTTCTCGTAGCGGTTGATGTCGTATTCCCACTGTAGGAATTGTTCTTCAAATTGTGCTTCATTGAATGTAGGTTCCAGTAGTTTGGTGAGGTAGCCAACACTGCGTGTTCCTGCTGGTAGGCTGAACCTGTTGTGCAAAAGCCGTAGTGTTTCACATCCATTGACTTTGTAGCGGTTTTGTCTAACCACTGTAGCTGCTGCTCCTTGGCAGATGTTGATGAGGATGTAGTGTACATCTCGTGAGAGGTCTACTGCTTTTGCTGCCTGTGTAGGGTCGCGTATGTGGGCTCTGATGTCTGCATCTTCAATTTGTCTTGTAGCTGCTTGTGCTAGTTGTAGCACCATGTCGAAGTCTCGGTCGATAAGTCCGAGATATGCTTGTAGTTTGAACAGCCACTCTTCATACTGCGAGTAGTCACCAGTGAAGAATGGTGGTGGCAGTTTGTATTTGTGTAGCCTTTGGACGTCTTCCTGCTCCTGTGTTGTTCCCGTAGTTGTGGCTCCTATTGTCTCTTCTGCTGTGGGCCCGTTGTCTGCTCCTGTAGTTGGTTGTGCTGATGCTGCTGCTGGTTCTCCTGACATGTCGTAGTAGTTGGGCATGTTGGTTGCCTGCGCAGTTGTAGCACTTACTGCTGTTACTGGAGCTCCCCTATGTTTAGGATCTCAGCTCTGCTACCACGTTAAAATACGTTGATACTTTACTTCTAGTGCCAGTGTTGTTCTGTTATCACAAACACAAATGTAGTCAGCCAGCATGCACTCTTTTCCTGGTAGACTCAAGGCCTGCAGTCGGGTAGTGTACATCATGCGTGCACAAGTGACAAGTAGTGCAACATGATATTTGACATCTCTCTCTCTCTCTCTTTCTCTCTCTCTCTCTCTCTCTCTCTCTCTCTCTCCCTCCCCGCACGGCGGACATGCAAGGCCGGCGCGCGGAGCACGAAAATAGATGAATAAAGGTAGAAAAACACATCCCTGATAGACAAGTAGATAACAGACAAATAGACCGAGCGCTACAAGATAGAGAGGGAGAAAGAGAGACGTGAGGGGTAGATAGATGGACAGATAAAAAAACAAATCTGGGCATGCAATAGACACATACATAAGAACAAGATAGATAGTGTTTGATAGACAAATAAACAGATGCACAGATAGATAGGTAGATGGGGAAAGAAGGAAACATACTCCTTGAAGATGACATGGGACTTACATATTGACCGCTAAACCGCCAAAAAAATGTGTAAGTCCTGACTCATGGAAGTCTCCAGTCAAATAATGATGTCGCCTCACGCAGTGTCTGATTTTCTGTGTTGGACGCCAAAACGAAAAACGAGTACTCACAGAATTGGCAAGTCAAGGCCACTCGGGCTCTCGCACACCTTTATTCGCATCCAAAGTTTTTGACAGAAAGAAAAGCGCCTTCTCCCAGAAGGTTTTTCTTTAGGGCCTGCAACTCCATACGTAGAAACAAAAACATCTGATATATCTATAGACATCTGTATATATATATATATATACGGCTGTGGTTAGACATGTGAGGCTTCCTTACACGAAGCTGACCATCGCGGCGCCCGCGCCGGTTCGCCGGGCGGGCTCTAAGCTCACCCGGAAACATTTTCCACTTATCCCGTGCACCGATGGCAATGGACGTCTCAGTGACCGAGTTTCTAGGCCCACAAGTCCTACGTCATTTTTTGGCTCGACAGAATAGATAGATAGGTAGGAAGTAGACCTCGTAACTAGATCGTGAGAGAGTAGACAGATGGATAGACAGGAAGGTTGAAAGACGAAAACATGTGAACAATGATAGGAAGGCCGAGGGAAAGAGAGAGAGAGAGAGAAAGAAGTTCTAGAGAAAAAATGTAGAAAGAAGAAGAACAGCAGGACATAAAGCAAGAAGGAGAAAAGGAAAGAAAGAAACTTAAAGAAACAAAGAAGAAAGGGGGGACAGACACAATGAAAGAACTAACGCAATGAACCAAATAAAAACGGCGAGAAGAAACCAAAAAAGGACAGACAGAAGAAAACCCACTTGGATTGTGTTGTGAAAATTGAATGAACCGCCCCCCTGACACGAGGCATCCAGGCTTGGATGGTAACATTTCAATCAACTGATGGTTCCCTTCACTCCTTCCTGCCACCCACCAGGAATGTCTCATGCGCCAAACCTGCCCTCCGCCCCAGCCTGGGTCAGGAAGGGCGTGAGGCAGCAGAAGTCCGGCAGTTCTGGGCGCGATCGCAGCACCTTCTAGAATTAACCCAAGCCCAACCTCAAACAGTGAACAACTGCGGTGAAATGTTTCAGGGTAGCCTATTTTTGAGAAGAGTGAGCCGAGTGGCCGAGAAGTGTGCTCTGTGCCAAAGCGTGCCCAGTGGGTGGCTTTGCGATATTGGTACCTTGTTTTGAGGCATGTACTATTGTAGTGCTACTATGTCTGCTTGCGCACGTGTAAATAGTTTCTGTTTTCACCGGTGGCCTACAACGTGGACGCACGCAAAGCACGGAACGTCACCAATCGAAGTCAACATACGACTCAACCATATGACACACACCTTCTGTCAAGACATGGTTGAACCAAGCACAATTTGACTTGCAGCGATTCACACACATTTTGCAAGAATAGTGCAAGTTAGCTCGTGGAACAAATGCAAACAATTGGAATAGTCCAGCCGCCCTGGCTCTTCTTTGGGCACCGGCTAATCTAGGGGTTGCCTTGTTTTCGGCGAACCCCGTCAGCGTGCTATTTCAGGCGCCCCTGCGGGAGCAGAATATGCATTCGCTGTCCACAGCCTCAGTGCCAGGCACAACATTTCTGCCCCCAAGGCTTTCTTGGCTTTCTTGAAGAGTCTGAGGCAGCGAAAGCTTGAAGTCCATTGATTTGACACAAAAAGCGCGCGCCACGCGCGCTGTGTTCAGGTCTGCTGCGATTGAGCACACACAGCATAGCAAGATGGAAAGGAAGCGAAGTTCCCGCCTGACAGACTTTGAGGTTCCGCTTCTTGTCTATGGTCAAAATCCTCTGCGCCACGCACTTCACCACCTCCACGGCGTAGTCATGGCGCCTCGAGGGAAGGAAAGGAGAATGGACACTTCTTATTTTCCGAAAGGGCCTGAAAATAGAAGTGTGTGAGAAACCGAGGGGTTGCTTTCATACCCCGGCAACAGTGGTGGCGTTGCCCCTCGGAAAGACCACGGCATCCCGAATATCCTCAAAACAGCACCCGTTCCGTAAGTCGATCTTTGTGTGTCTTTGCCGCCACCAGTGGACCAAGCACAATACAATTGTGAAATGATATAGGCATTCTCGAGCCGAGTGGCAACATGTGTGTAATTTGTTGCGAATGCACTGGTGACCCATAATCCACACACACACACACCCTACGCAGTATGCCTCATTCTGAGACATCTGCGCAGAGGCGTTGAAACTCCACCATAATGCAAACACATACACACACTGCCGGCTCCAACTCATTGTGTTTTTGTGATAGAAATGCTCAAAGAGGTGGGCAGAATCATGAAACCATCCTCCTGAAAAGGATATAATACCATCGGCGGCGCAAACACCTGACCCGGTTGTCGGTGTGGAAGAGTGGCATCAGTTCTTCGCCCGCTCAGCCCTGAAGGACACCTTAACCTCAGGGATTGGCATAGCAAGGGCCCCCCATGCCTGGTCGAGATATGGGTCCATTTTGCAGCTTGTCCGAATGTCTGCTTTGAAGTTGACATTAGTGTACAGGCGAGGAATAGAATATGCAAAGGAACATTGCGTGCAATGGTACGCTCGGGCCTTTCCCTACGCGCCCGCGCCATATGGAAATAGGCTGATAAACTGTTCACCAGTACTCATCCCATCCACCGTGGTAACCCAACCAATACGTGACTACGTGCCCGTCGCCAAGGAGTTAATGTCCAATGTGGATTAGTAAACGGGAGCCCCCCCCCCCCACGATGGGGGCATGGGGAATAGTATCTTGAGGTGAGTTTCCATGAGATTTAGTATTGGTAGACTTGAGTTTCCATTTGATTTAGTATTGCTGGAGCTTCCTTTTGAGCTTCCTTTTGAGATTTGGAACTGAGTTTCCATTTGAGTATTGCTCCTTTTGAGATTTGGAACTGAGTTTCAAATAGATTTAGTATTGCTGGAGCTTCCCTTCCCTTTGCCTTCCGTTTGCCTTTCCTGCCCTTTGCTTTTGCCCGATGGTCTGGAAAAGGGCCAAGCTAATGGGCCGGGGTTTCCCAGGCCTTTCGTCCGCCTTCTTTTGTTCTGCCAAAGAGTTACCGATTGCCGCTTGGAGGTACAGATTGGAAACATCCATAATTGTCACGTGAGTATTAGCAAAGGAAATTGTGAATGGGAATAGTGCAGTAAACCAATTGCGAACGGAAATAGTGAATGGGAATAGTGAATGGACATACGCCTACATGGCGAGGTGACTAGGTCCAGGTGAGTTGTGCTAAAGCTTAGGCCCTTAGGCTTAGAAAAGAAACAATGTTTATTTGCTAAAGGGAAGCCCTCGACTCGATTGGCCCCAAGTCTGCCCAACGCAGCGCCAGCAATTTCCATAAGTGCAAATTCCTTAATTTTCACTAATTCCATTCACTATGTTGTTCACTAATTGTTTGCTCAAGATTGCAGTCTTTTCAAAAGGAAAACGCAAAAATCACTAACCTGATTAAATTTCACTAAATTCACTAAATTCACTAAATTGATTAAATTTCCCTAATTTCATTCAATTTCACTAGTTTCACTAAATTTCGCAAGCCCGATGTTGTAAAATTAAATGAAATTACTGAAATTTGAGCAAAAATTTAGCGAACTTTAAGAAAGATAATCATTAAATTTCATTAAATTTCACCAAATTTCATTAATTTTCGCAAGCCAAATTTAATGAAAATTAGTGAACTTTAGCTTAGTGAATTCTATTGATTTTAACAAAATTTATTAGAATTCAGTGCAATTGATGAAGCTCAATGAAATTTTAGAAAGAGATGCAAACAATTTCGCTTTTTCACTGTTTTTGAAATAAATTTGCTCTTTCGAAAATTTCCTTAAACTTCATAAATTTCGCTTAGTTCCGCTAAATTTCACTAATTTTCACTAAATTTGGCTTTCGAAATTTAGTGAAATTTACTGAATCTCTTTCTAAAATTTCATTGCGCTTCATAAACTTCATTAAATCTCACCCAAATTCACTAAAATCCGCCGACCCTTTCTCTAAAAAGGGGAGGCGCGCGGGAAGGGTGGTTGGCGCATAAGTATAACCAAAGTTTCATCCTCATCAGCATCAGCAGCTACGATGATTGTTATCGTCACGGTCATTGTCATCATCATCATCCTTATCATCATCTCTTTCTTAGTCTCTTATCCTTATCCTCATTATCATCATGGTCGTCGTCATCTCTCATCACGCAGCATTGGTGACGCAGAGGATGCTGCGATGATAGTTTTCATCACAGCCGTCAGTGATGCTAAGGATGCTACGATGATAGTTGTCATCCATGTCATCATCTTCATCATCACCTGATCATCGCCTAGCATCATCTAGTATCTTATTTTATATAGAAATCAAAAGGGACGTTAGGCATCCTTGGCAATGCAAAGGATGCGATGATGATAGTTTTCCAGGAACCAGTAGAGATGCAGAGGATGTTGCGATGATAGTTGTCATGACGCGGATGATAACGATCATCACGCCCGGGCCATTATCATCATGGTCGTCGTCATCTCTTATCACGCAGCATTGGTGATGCAGAGGATGCTGCGATGATAGTTCTCATCACAGCCGTTAGTGATGCTAAGGATGCTACAATGATAGTTATCATCCTTATCATCATCTTTATCATCATCTGATCATCACCTAGCATCATCTAATATCTTATTGTATATAGAAATCAAAAGGGACGCTAGACATCCTTGGCAATGCAAAGGATGCGATGATGATAGTTATCAAGGAACAAGTAGTGATGCAGAGGATGTTGTGATGATAGTTGTCATGACGGATGATAACGATCATCACGCCCGGGCCATCATCATCATGGTCGTCGTCATCTCTTATCACGCAGCATTGGTGATGCAGAGGATGCTGCGATGATAGTTCTCATCACAGCCGTTAGTCATGCTAAGAATGCTACGATGATAGCTATCATCCTTGTCATCATCTTTATCATCATCTGATCATCACCTAGCATCATCTAATACCTTATTGTATATAGAAATCAAAAGGGACGTTAGACATCCTTGGCAATGCAAAGGATGCGATGATGATAGTTATCAAGGAACAAGTAGTGATGCAGAGGATGTTGTGATGATAGTTGTCATGACGCGGATGATAACGATCATCACGCCCGTGCCATTATCATCATGGTCGTCGTCATCTCTTATCACGCAGCATTGGTGATGCAGAGAATGCTGCGATGATAGTTCTCATCACTAACAGAGTGATGCTAAGGACGCTACGATGATAGCTATCATCCTTATCATCATCTTTATCATCATCTGATCATCACCTAGCATCATCTAATACCTTATGATATATAGAAATCAAAAGGGACGTTAGACATCCTTGGCAATGCAAAGGATGCGATGATGATAGTTATCAAGGAACAAGTAGTGATGCAGAGGATGTTGTGATGATAGTTGTCATGACGCGGATGATAACGATCATCACGCCCTTGCCATTATCATCATGGTCGTCGTCATCTCTTATCAGGCAGCATTGGTGATGAAGAGGATGCTGCGATGATAGTTCTCATCACAGCCGTTAGTGATGCTAAGGATGCTACGATGATAGTTATCATCCTTGTCATCATCTTTATGATCATTTGATCATCACCTAGCATCATCTAATACCTTATTAGATATAGAAATGAAAAGGGACGTTAGACATGCTTGGGAATGGAAAGGATGCGATGATGATAGTTTTCCAGGAAACAGTAGTGATGCAGGATGTTGTGATGATAGTTGTCATGACGCGGATGATAACGATCATCACGCAGCATTGGTGATGCAGAGGATGCTGCGATGATAGTTCTCATCACAGCCGTTAGTGATGCTAAGGATGCTACTATGATAGTTGTCATCCTTGTCATCATCTTCATCATCATCTGATCATCACCTAGCAGGCCAGCTCCTGCGTCAACCATGATGACGTCATCATCTTCTTCAGTCTTCCCCAACTCCGGTATTCCGTCGATAGAAATTGGATTACGGGTTCCGGAACGTGCCCTTCCAATTGCCAGCTGGCACGCTGCACCGGTAATCCTGCCCGTGTATGAGGAGAGAATGTTCGAGTCCATGAAGTATGGCATTGACGTCCCCCAAGCAAGGTGATCCGTCACCGCCGCGCACCCAGAATACCCAGATGCGGCGCGAAGTGCGCCGAGTAGTGCTTCAACGGCAACCCATGATTTCCTCGATCCGCGTCTCCCCGAACAAAGTCCACAGATGATGAGGCGGCCCACCATCCGGTATAGGCCCTGTTGCCTGCGTGAATAATCCAAATGCCAGGGCGCGCAACGTCCTGCTCGGTGATACGATGCAGGACACACAGTCTTCCCCTTGGTGTGATGAAGCAATGAAAGACCTTCATCAGCCGGAAATGGAATCACACCCAGGTGTGAAAACGCCTTTTGAGATGGTCGACTCCTTCAGCGCAATAGTCGACCGGGCTCTGCAGTGGAGTTTCGTTGACCAAGTCAAGGAGGTCGTCCGCAGCCATGCGAAAGTGTTCACTCTTGTTCCCCTTCCCGCTCCCGCGCAAAGTACGCAACGCTCTCGGTGGCCGCTGTTCGCAAGATTTCCTTCTTTCCCATGTTTGCATTGGTCGCAGAGGTATTCCATCACATCGTCCACGTGGACGAGCCGGACAAGCGGCCACGGTGTTCCAACGCGATCGAGTTCACCTCTATTAACATCCAAGACTTCTCGGCCATGCGTCCTTTCAAGTCCTCCGTCACATCGAGTCCGCTCTCATAATTTCCTTCGCCTTCTTCGACAGACTTGCCGAGATCTTGTCCTTGATGTCCCAAGTGGTTTGGGACTTCAACATCGCAGCAGAGAGGGTTCGCCTCCTGTCGAGGGCATACTGCATCAGGCCTTCGGTCTCCGTTGACAACCTGCCGCTCATTCCCGATTCCGCTGAATCCCCCTCAAGAATGCTTGGGGTTTGAACACCAACGCTGGCGTCTTGACACCAGCTATGATCACGTCCGCGTAGCACTTCAAGGGTTCATTCAACGTGGAGATATCAGTCGTGTTGGTCGTGATAATGATTGGTCGTGGGGCCTGTTCTTGAATCAGATTGATGATCGCGGCACATTGTCAACTTCCATAATTCTGGGCGCGGGGTGTATTTAAGGGTGCCCCCCCGTACTTAAGCAAAAAACTACATTCTGAACGGCTGAAAATGGACTCAGGCAGAAAATGTGCAAAATCAAAGGTAGGCGCAAAATATCGCTCAACACCCATGTCCCAACATATCGTTGAGGGCACCCAAAGGATGTGGGATCAGGTAAGGCGCTGTCACCCCCCCTCAATGTGGGCTGCAAGCACTATCAGAATAGGAGCCGTAGCCAGCCGCGAATCATCACATTGTCGAAAACGTGACAAAATTGGGCGACAAAAACAAGATTTCTGGCCTCAGAACCTGCAAACCACCCTAAATCCAAAGGCAAAACCCTTAAGTGCACCCGCAAAATCACCTTCGCGGCGCCCAAAAAAGCTTAGGTACCCCCCTACCTGAATTTAAGGAATTGTGGGTGTACTTAAGGATTTGTTGGGTGTACTTAAGGAATTTTTTGGTGTACCTCAGGAAATTTGGGGCACTTAAGGAATTTGGCCCCTGTGCCTAAGAATGTTTGCTCGGGCAAAGAAATCTGCAGTGGCCCACTGGGTTTGTGGAGGTCTGGCTTCTCCGTCTCTGAGGGTGGCAAACATTCTGTTCGGTTAGCGCTAGGCATGCGCAGACGCAGTCGATTACACATGGGTTGCTCTTGTTTTTATCACCCAATTTTGTCACGTTTTCGACAATGTGATGGATTCGCGGCTGGCTACGGGCTCCTATTCTGATTTAGCGCTCGCAGCCCACATTAGGGGTGAAAAAAGGCCACAAGTCCCAGAATTTGGGCGTGTGTACATGAGCCAACACATGCAAAAAATATGGGGTGTTCTGGCTTGAACTTCATGCCACCAAGTGCGCAACACATCGAATCAGCTATTGTTGAAAATAGATGAAATGAATGTCGCCCAAGTACAGGGGGGTTGCGCGTAACAATAATTATGAAAGTTGACACGGCACATTGACTGAAGTACTCTTCCATGCCGCTTTTGATCACGTAGTACTCCCCACTTTTGTTCTTCCATTCCATGGCGTCCACCAACGACATCCACAAGTGAACTGATTCAACTGCTCCTTTGACGCTGTTCTTGCGCTTCGTCAGCTGCATCAAAAGTTCACCTCGGGGATTGAGTTCCTCATCGACAGGGCAGATCATGTTGCCCATGTTCCATCCAACGTTCCTGCTCAAACCCTCCGTGGTGTGTAGCCCTTTGTTTGACTTTGTGAAGAATATCAGGTCAGTCACAAGGTGAAAGCTACCCCGCCTGTGATCTCCGGTCTGTGTGCTCACGGCCGCCTCAGCCTTGGCCTTCATGTCTTTGATCAAAGTCTCGTGCTGTGGCCGAGCTGCCAGATGGCGCCGCCTCGCCCGACGGTAGACGAGCCAACACGTGCGTCAATCTCTTAACGTAGGACTCCCACGTTGAAGCAAACACGTTCGGTTTGGCCTCGATCAGTTCAGGCAGCCCGGCCGCTGCGATTGTCTTGTATTTGTCCACCTGGCTCAGGACTCGGGTCGCGCTCATCTCGATGAACCGAGAGGCTTGTGCAGCTGTGCTGATGACCCAATGCCTTTGGGGCGCTTGGGAAGTCTTGATCCAACATTTCCCGCTCCCTTCAAAAGTTCTGCAATTGTTTGCAGAATGTTGCAAGGCCCCCGTGGAGGGATCGCTCGAGCAGGTTGCTGGTCAAGATGGTCTTCCAGGTATCATTGGTCGTGGTATACTTCTTCAGGCACTTGCATTTTGTCATTGCGTTTTCGATCAATTTAACCAGCCGCATTCGTGTCTCCGCGGCAGTCAAGTTCTCGTAGATCGTTTTGCAAAACATGACCACGCGAAGATTGTCGTTAACCTGCTGCATAGACTCGTATTGTTTCTGAAGAGCGCTGTACTGACTCTGAGCCATACTCTCGACCCATTTCAGGTTCTTCTTTATCAGTTCAGCTTGCTTCTCCGCCATTTCGGTAGAGCCCGGCACGCCGTGACTCTCCTTCCTGGCGTCGGACCATTAACTCCTCCGCTTAGGCCTCTGTCTCTTCTCGGTTCAAATGGTTCCTTAGTCGATCAATTTCCAGTCTGGCTTTGTTCTCAACATAGCTCAGTTGCATTCTCGCCGCACTGGTAACCTGAAGCTTCATAGCCCCGCCTCTCTGATCGGCTACAGTCTTCCCTCGATTCACTCCCGGACAGGTGCTGCATTTGATCCCTCTAGGTTTGGATCTGTCCATCTTTGTTGGAAACTATGTGATTGTGGTATGTCTCCGCAAGTCTCAGCTTAGCTTGCGTCGTCGACTCTTCTTGTTTCATCGCCGCTCGAAGACGCTCGTTCTCATGACTCAACTTGGTCCGTAAGTCGGCACGAGCGCTTCATCTTTCATCCTTCCATGAACATGTGCAACTTGGGGTTCCAGCGTATGATTCATTTTCTCAAGCCCCAGAATCCTTTGCAGACTTCCCGACTCATCGGATTCTAGGTCTTGCGATTCCTCCTTCAATTCACGGTTCTCGTCGTACTGCTCGGCAGCTTCGCTCATCTGTACTTCTGCCCTTCTCTCAGCTTTCCGCAAATCATCATCGAGTTGTTGATCCGCACTTTCGGGGTCACTTGGGAACCCCTTGCGGAGGATGACTTCTCTCCCTTACGAGACTTACGGATTCGCGTCCGCCCATCATCTTCTTCTGACAGTGCTCTCGACCGGGAGGAAGCCCTTGCTCCCATGGTCTGATCAACGCCGCGGTCCAGCACTCACAACGATAGTGTCTGCACTCCCATGACCGGCTGATTCCGGTGTCCCTTGAGATGAAACTCCAGGAGCAGGTGCCGCGAATGTAATCAAGATCTCCCATCGGACATTGCCACGTAAGTGTTGTTGTTGTGCCACTTGGCGGTATATATGAATATAAATATATATCGATTGGTTCAATATGAAGCGGGGTTCAAGACCTCTTGCTTCGAACCAATCTTTGTCTCACAGCGCGTGGGACAAGCCCTACGGTTGATAACCTGAGAAACCGAGGGGTTGCTTTCATATCCCGGCAACAGTGGTGGTGTTGCCCCTCGGAAAGACCACGGCGTCCCGAATATCCTCGAAACTGTACCCTTTCCGTAAGTCGATATTTTTGTGTCTTTGCCGCCACCAATCACAATACAATTGTGAAATGATATAGACATTCTTGGGCCGAATGGTAACATGTGTGTAATTTGTTGTGAATGCACTGGTGACCCATAATCTATTCACAGTGTGTATAACCCTTTTCTCCCTTACGAGACTTACGGATTCGCGTCCGCCCATCATCTTCTTCTGACGGCGCTCTCGACCGGGAGGAAGCCCTTGCTCCCATGGTCTGATCAACGCCGTGGTCCAGCACTCACAACGATAGTGTCTGCACTCCCATGACCGGCTGATTCCGGTGTCCCTTGAGATGAAACTCCAGGAGCAGGTGCCGCGAATGTAATCAAGATCTCCCATCGGACATTGCCACGTAAGTGTTGTTGTTGTGCCACTTGGCGGTATATATGAATATAAATATATATCGATTGGTTCAATATGAAGCGGGGTTCAAGACCTCTTGCTTCGAACCAATCTTTGTCTCACAGCACGTGGGACAAGCCCTACGGTTGATAACCTGAGAAACCGAGGGGTTGCTTTCATATCCCGGCAACCCCTCGGAAAGACCACGGCGTCCCGAATATCCTCGAAACTGTACCCTTTCCGTAAGTCGATATTTTTGTGTCTTTGCCGCCACCAATCACAATACAATTGTGACATGATATAGGCATTCTTGGGCCGAATGGTAACATGTGTGGAATTTGTTGTGAATGCACTGGTGACCCATAATCTATTCACAGTGTGTATAACCTTCTCGAACCCTGACTCAACATGAACCAAAGTGCACACGAAAAGGTCCGAACACTTTTTTGGAGAATTCAGTGCTTGGTGGCAACCAGCGCCAGCTCCGGCCAAGCCTCCAACGGCTGAACAACTGCACGTGGGAGTTGCTGGGAAAGGGACGTTGGCCCGGAGCCTCAGTTGGATCACAGTTGGGATTCTCAAGGACTGGTGGAGGCACCTGTCACTATTCCTGTCTCTTCGCTCTTTGCCGGATCGGCTAACTACAGGGGCAGCCAGTGAGCCTCCGGCCCTTGACAACTCCATGGCCGCAGCGTGCTCCTGGGCAAAGCGGGTGGGCCAATGCGTGTTGCATCAATGCAGGGCCTGCAGGAAAAAACGCCAACTTTAAGCGCACGGACATCCCATTTGAAGGAGGTATGTGTTTATTGCGCGCCGATTCATTTGTGAGGGGTCGCCACTATTCGACAAACAGGGTGGCCAAGCATGTGTTTCTTTCCTTGCCTTTTTCAGTGGACCACCATCTGTAAGCTTGCTCGCCCACTTGCTCTCTGGGTTGGGTTGGGCGCACGCCAGCTCACAGTACTGCCCTCTTTGTCCGACCGTGACACAAGGACCATCCAGCCCCTTAGCTCCCCACGTTCACACCTACTAAACCCCTGACCATCCTGGCACGCATCCTTCTTGCTTCCTTTTGGGCACTCAGGCAAAATGGTCAAGTTTCTGGTTAGTTTGCAACGCTTCTTCGCCACCTTGAGGTCCCAACTACACAGCCGCCCTTGAACACAACGAAATTGACCACACTCTGGCTGCATCCAAGCGGCCATCACACACACACACACCAAAGACAAGCACAAACGCACAGACACAGAAGACACCACAGAGACACAAACACACAGAGACGGACAGGGACACGAAGCCACCCATGCGCAGGCCGACCGCGCACCCACCCACCAACCCACCCAAACAAGCAAACACGCACAGAAAGAAACAAAACAAAACAAGCGCGCAAACAAGCGACAGCAACACAAGCAAGCGAGCGAGCAAGCAAGCAAGCAAGCAAGCAAGCAAGCAAGCAAGCAAGCAAGCCAGCCAGCCAGCCAGCAAGCCAGCAAGCCAGCAAGCCAGCAAGCCAGCAAGCCAGCAAGCCAGCAAGCCAGCAAGCCAGCAAGCCAGCAAGCCAGCCAGCCAGCCAGCCAGCAAGCCAGCAAGCCAGCAAGCCAGCAAGCCAAGCCAGCAAGCCAAGCCAGCAAGCCAGCAAGCCAGCAAGCCAGCAAGCCAGCAAGCCAGCAAGCCAGCAAGCCAGCAAGCCAGCCAGCCAGCAAGCCAGCAAGCCAGCCAGCCAAGCCAGCAAGCCAGCAAGCCAGCAAGCCAGCAAGCCAGCAAGCCAGCCAGCCAGCCAGCCAGCCAGCCAGCCAGCCAGCAAGCAAGCAAGCAAGCAACGACACACATAAACAAAACCAAACAAACTTCGCAAGGAAGCAAACCAACATACAAAGAGGACAAACAACTATCAACCAACCAACCAACCAACCAACCAAGCACGCACGCACGCAAGCAAGCAAGCAAGCAAGCAAGCACCGCACAAACAAACAACCAAAAAAAATCAAACAAACACCAAAAACAATAACAAAACAAACAAACAAACAAACAAACACGCAAACAAACAAACAAACAAACAAACAAACAAACAAAGAAAGAAAGAAAGAAAGAAAGAAAGCAAGAAACAAATTAAGAACAAAAACACACAACACACAAGCAACCAAGCAAGCAGGCAAGCAAGAACTGCCAAAACAAACAAACACAACAAAACAAACAAATACAAACTGCGGTTTGGGTAGAACTTGAAGACCCCGGGAATCAGACCTCCTCAACAGTGTACGCAAAGTTTCGGGGGGGAATCCCAGTATTTTTGAGTCATGAGCCATTCGGCCTGCTTCCCTTTAGTTGAAATTTGGAAAACAGCAAATCGATGTAAAGGGAAGTTTGCAGTTCAGCCGGGTGTGCGCAAACTCTTTCTCTCTCATGTCGGAACTGAAGCAAGCTGGAAGCCAGCAGATTTACTGTCTAGGTTAGCTCGTGTGTCTAGACACGCCAACAAATCTCTTTGCAGACATGCGCGCGTTTGGCGGAACTGAGGGGTGAGCATTGTAGGGCGACCAACTGAAAGATAGAAGCCAACAACTTTTCTTCCGAGATAGACTGGCCTGCGCGAAGAGAGTCTCTTTAAGCCAATCAGCTAAGCTGAGCGCCGCGTACTTTGTGGCCGCGCCTGATGTAACTCACGCGCCGCCTGTCCGTCATGTTGCACGGACTCGTCTATTTTGTGAAAAATGAACATTCCTTCTTTCCCGCAAGGTTCTTACTTTTACCGCTTGTCGTCCGGCCGCCGATGTGTCCTCCTCCCGCCTCCTCCGCATCTCTCACTCACTCTCACTCACTCACTTCACTCACTGACTCACTGACTCACTGACTCACTCACTCACTCACTGACTAACTCACTCACTGATTCACTCACTCACTGACTCACTCACTGACTCACTGACTCACTCACTGACTAACTCACTCACTGATTCACTCACTCACTGACTCACTCACTGACTCACTGACTCACTGACTCACTCACTGACTCACTGACTCACTGACTCACTGACTCACTAACTCACTCACTGACTCACTGACTCACTGACCCACTGACTCACTGACTCACTGACTCACTGACTCACTGACTCACTGACTCACCAACTCACTGACTCACTGACTCACTGACTCACTCACTGACTCACTCACTGACTCACTCACTGACTCACTGACTCACTGACTCACTGACTCACTCACTGACTGACTGACTGACTCACTGACTCACTGACTCACTGACTCACTCACTGACTCACTGACTCACTGACTCACTGACTGACTGACACTGACTCACTGACTCACTGACTCACTGACTCACTGACTCACTGACTGACTCACTGACTCACTGACTCACTGACCCACTGACTCACTGACTCACTGACTCACTGACTCACTGACTCACTGACTCACCAACTCACTGACTCACTGACTCACTCACTGACTGACTCACTGACTCACTCACTCACTCACTCACTGATATTTCTTATTTTTCCTATTTAAATCTCTTAGCCAATCAAATTGCTCCATTTCATTTTTAAATATCCTATTGTAAACAAATTCCTTAACTAATTTTTAATCCATTTGAAACCTAACTCCCATTAAAAAAATAATATATTTTCCTCACCGAAAAACCAAGAAAGAAACCATTTACTTCTCTCTCGATATCTTTCTCTTTCTCCCCCTCTCTCTCTCTCTCGATAGATTTCTCTCTCTCTCTCTCAAAATATATTTCTCTCTCTCTCTCTCGATATATTTCTCTCTCTCGATAGATTTCTCTCTCTCTCTCTCGATATATTTCTCTCTCTCTCCACTGACTCACTGACTCACTGACTATCTGACTCACTGACTCACTGACTCACTGACTCACTGACTGACTGACTCACTGACTCACTGACTCACTGACTCACTGACTCACTCACTGACTCACTGACTCACTGACTCACTCACTGACTCACTGACTGACTGACTGACTGACTCACTGACTCACTGACTCACTCACTGACTCACTGACTGACTGACTCACTGACTGACTGACTCACCCACTGACTCACTGACCCACTGACTCACTCACTGACTCACTCACTGACACTCACTGACTCACTCACTGACTCACTGACTCACTGACTCACTGACTCACTCCCTGACTGACTGACTGACTCACTGACTCACTCACTGACTCACTCACTGACTGACTCACTGACTCACTCACTCACTGACTCACTCACTCAAACTCAATCAAACTCACTCAAACTCACTCACTGACTCACTCACTGACTCACTGACTCACTCACTGACTCACTCAAACTCACTCACTGACTCACTGACTCACTCACTGACTCACTGACTCACTCACTGACTCACTCACAGACTCACTCACTGACTCACTCACTCACTCACAGACTCACTCACTGACTGACTCACTGACTCACTGACTCACTCACTGACTGACTCACTGACTCACTGACTCACTCACTGACTGACTCACTGACTCACTGACTCACTCACGAGTGACTCACTGACTCACTGACTCACTCACTGACTCACTGACTCACTGACTCACTCACTGACTCACTGACTCACTGACTCACTGACTCACTCACTGACTCACTGACTCACTGACTCACTGACTCACTGACTGACTGACTCACTGACTGACTGACTGACTGACTCACTGACTCACTGACTCACTGACTCACTGACTCACTGACTCACTGACTGACTGACTGACTCACTCACTCACTCACTCACTGACTGACTCACTCAAACTCACTCACTGACTCACTGACTGACTCACTGACTGACTCACTCACTGACTCACTGACTCACTCACTGACTGACTGACTGACTGACTGACTGACTGACTGACACTGACTGACACTGACTGACTGACTGACTGACTGACTGACTGACTGACTGACTGACTGACTGACTGACTGACTGACTGACTGACTCACTCACTCACTCACTCACTGACTCACTGACTCACTGACTCTGACTCACTGACTCACTGACTCACTGACTCACTGACTCACTGACTCACTGACTCACTGACTCACTGACTCACTGACTCACTGACTCACTCACTGACTCACTGACTCACTCACTGGCTCACTCACTGACTCACTCACTGAGTCACTGAGTCACTGAGTCACTGAGTCACTGACTGACTGACTGACTGACTGACTCACTCACTCACTCACTGACTCACTCAAACTGAAACTCACCCAAACTCACTCAAACTCACTCAAACTCACTCACTGACTCACTGACTCACTGACTGACTGACTGACTGACTGACTAACTGACTGACTGACTGACTGACTGACTGACTGACTGACTACTGACTGACTAACTCACTCACTCACTCACTCACTCAGACTGACTCACTCAAACTCACTCAAACTCACTCACTGACTCAATGACTCACTAACTCACTGACTCACTGACTCACTGACTCATTGACTCACTGACTGACTGACTGACTGACTCACTCACTCACTCACTCACTCACTCACTCACTCAAACTCACTCAAACTCACTTCAACTCACTCAAACTCACTCACTGACTCACTGACTCACTGACTCACTGACTTACTGACTGACTGACTGACTGACTGACTGACTAACTGACTGACTGACTGACTGAGTGAGTGACTGACTCACTCACTCAAACTCACTCAAACTCACTCACTGACTCACTGACTCACTAACTGACTGACTGACTGACTGACTGACTGACTGACTCACTGACTGACTGACTGACTGACTGACTGACTCACTCACTCACTCAAACACTCACTCACTCACTCACTCACTCAGTCAGTCACTCAGTCACTCAGTCACTCAGTCACTCAGTCACTCAGTCACTCAGTCAGTCACTCAATCACTCAGTCACTTACTCACTCACTCACTCACTCACTAACTCATTCACTCACTCCCTCCCTGCCTCTTTCCCTCCCTCCCTCCCTCCCTCCCTCCCTCCCTCCCTCACTCACTCACTCACTCACTCACTCACTCACTCACTCACTCACTCACTCACTCACTCACTCACTCACTCACAGACTCACTCACTCACTCACTCACTCACTCACTCACTCACTCACTCACTCACTCACTCACTCACTCACTCACTCACTCACTCACTCACTCACTCACACTCACTCACTCACTCACTCACTCACTCACTCACTCACTCACTCACTCACTCACTCACTCACTCACTCACTCACTCACTCACTCACTCACTCACTCACTCACTCACTCACTCACTCACTCACTCACTCACTCACTCACTCACTCACTCACTCACTCACTCACTCACTCACACACTCACCCACCCACCCACCCGCCCACTCACTCACCGCTCGCTCGCTCGCTCGCTCACTCACTCACTCACTCACTCAGTCAGTCACTCAGTCACTCAGTCACTCAGTCACTCAGTCACTCAGTCACTCAGTCACTCAGTCAGTCACTCAATCACTCAGTCACTCACTCACTCACTCACTCACTCACTCACTCACTCACTCACTCACTCACTCACTCACTCACTCACTCACTCACTTCACTCACACAAACACACACTCCACTCACTCCACTCGCTCCCTCACTCACGCTCAGTCACACTCACTCACACTCACTCACACTCACTCACACTCACTCACTCACACTCACTCACTCACCCACCCACCCACTCACTCACTCACTCACTCACCCAGCCACCCGCCCACTCACTCACTCAGTCGCTCGCTCGCTCGCTGACTCACTCACTCACTCACACACTCACTAACTCACTCACTCACTCACACTCGCTCGCACTCACTCACACTCGCTCACACTCACTCACAATCACTCACAGTCAGACTCAATCACACTCACACTCACTCAGTCAGACACTCAGTCACTCACTCAGTCACCTACTCATTCACTCACGCACTCACCGACTCACTCACTCACACTCACTCACTCTCACTCACACTCACTCACACTCACTCACTCACACTCACTCACTCACACTCACTCACTCACTCACCCACCCACCCACCCACTGACTCACTCACTCACTCACCCACTCACTCACTCCCTCACTCACTCACTCACTCGCTCGCTCGCTCGCTCACTCACTCACTCACTCACTGACTCAACAATTCACGCTTCCGTTGCCCATGATCTTCGAACAGCTTCTGTGTAGGGCGTCGAAGTCACGAAGTATTGATTGGAAGGTGTCAAAGGGAAAATAGTTCAAGAAAAAGCATGAGGCATACTGATAAAATCTTCAACACCAAAACACAAGCAAGCAAGCAAGCAAGCCAGCCAGCCAGCCAGCCAGCAAGCAAGCAGGCAGGCAGGCAAGCAAGAGGGCAGGCAGGCAAGGCAAGGCAAGGCAAGGCAAGGCAGGCAAGCAAAAACACACACACACACACACACTCACTAACAAACAACACGTTTCCAAGTTGATGAACAAACCAGAAGCCACCTATTTGGCTCTTCCAGAAATTGGGACCGCCTATCGGCGCAGAGCTGTTTCAAGGAAAAGCCAAACCGCGCAAAAAATGTTTCCAACCGACAATTCGAAACCACCAAAGCGGGCACCGGGACGCCTGTGCCACTGCCAGAAAGGCTGTCCTGCTCAATCTCCAAGAGACGTGCGTCAGCTTCTGGCACCTGTGAAACAGGGAACCTCCTTTGTATTAGAGCTTTCTTGCGCACGACATGTTGGTTGTTCCAAACTCTGGATTCCACCACATGTTTAGCGCTCGCAGAGAACCCGCAAGCAAAACAAACAGATTTTGGCGCACTATCACTGGAATGATTATTTCTACGCGCCAATCTCCACAATCTGAAACCACACTCGTGGCATCTCCTTAGGGATCAAATAGGAATTCCGCGGATCTGATACGCCGATCGGGACTGCCTTTTGCTTGCCTCGGCTCTTCGGGCGCCTTGTGCCTGCGCTGATTCAAAAGGCAACTCTAGTCAAAGGATCCCCAGACCGCACGGAAGCCACTGTCAAAGCACGCTGTTACCCTTATTGAAAGAATGATTTTTGTGGCTGGCATGTCCTGCCCCCTGTAAATCCCAAACCGCAAATACAGACCAAAACGGGCAGTTCGAGTCAATCTCATATCCCACTTAGGGGTGCTTTCAAAAATGAAATTCCCGCACCTATGCCCCAAACCCTCAGCAAAACTGAGCAAGACCTGCTCTCAGCGCCCGCGCGCGAAAATGACGCAGCCACTTCTTTGGGCAAGTGACCTATGATCCTGGCAAACGGTCAATGCGCTACGTGGCTGGGTCAGATTACACGCTGCAACTCTGCCAAACGGAAGAAGCGTGCCAGGCCGTTTTCTATCAAGCTCCAGCCTTTTGGGGGCAAGTTTCTTTGCTGTTCCTGTTGTCGGGGGCCGATTTAGTTTTTGGTTCCAGTTGCAAAAGAAACGCACGTCCGCAAACGCTCCTCTGCCAGACTGGCAAGTCTGATAGGAGCTCTGCGATTTTGAAAGCCTGCAAGCCGCAAACCGTTGCCATGGGGGCCATGGCATCAAAATGCACAACGCGTTGACTCTATGCGGGTGTTTTCCCGCAGGAGGTGGTCAATGTCAACATATGAGAAGCTCGGCAATCATAAACTCAACCAACCAAGTCATGTGCACCCTGCAACGACATATCGGCATCTTTCAAAAGTGAACTCGGGAGGGCAGGGGGTGTTGGGCGCCGGGCATTTGACGTCAAGGCCAAAAGACTTGACGAGGATATATAAGCTTCTTGAAACAGAGTATGAATTAGCACCGAACTTAAGTGTGGATTGAACGCTCCAAATTTTCAACAAAGCGTGAGGTTTGTCCCCACGAACCATGCTTTGGTTTCCTGAAACCTGATCGCCAGAACGGCAACCCTCAAAGAAGCGGAACTTACACGCCCTTCGCAACTCTCACCTCGCCTGCAAGGTGCCCAAGCGTGTGCCCACCAGTAGGTACCACTCGCACCTTGGGGCGCGCCCTGACGCTCATATCTCACTCCTTCCCTCCGTGCAGAGTCCGGGGGCCACCTCACCAGCTGTCCCGGGGGCCAACGCCACATCTTCCGAAGATGGCAAGGGACCTGTTATGCCTCACCAGATGTCCTTGCGAACCACATCTTTGTATCTTTCACATTTTGCATCTTCCGCCATCGGCGCGTACGTGGTCCACGTGTCCGATCGAGCTCATGTTTCGCAACTCTGCTTCGTTGTCTTTCTGCCTCATCCTGCTTTGGTCTTCGTTTGCATTTGTCTTCCCGCTCTTGGACTTGCGCTGTCAATGGCGCTGTCATCCTATCTTGTAAGCGGTCTTGCACACCGTTCTGCATCCGCGTCGCCATCCGTCTGCGTCCCGCCATGGAGTCTGATTTCCGCCTGGCGCTGTCTATTGTCACATGGCTACCCGTAGCCCTCTGCGAGATGAAGATAGTCCACACTCAAACTGGCACTGGCGCCAACACCCTGACCTCGTTCGCCAATGGTGCTTTCAAGTTCGTATTCCGGAGCCACTGGCAATCAGTTTTAGGCCTGTCTGCTGTAAGCACATGGCCGAAGACTTCTTCAACGCTTGCAAAACTGCACTCCCAGAATTTTGCCTTTAAGTTAAAGGTCCCGCGCACTGCTCCTAGCCTCAAACCACAAAGAACCCTGAACCCAAAAGCCGACAGCAAGGCGCACACCTTTTTACCGGGTTGCTTGGGAAGGTGGCACTTTCCTAGGGCACTGCGGTGCACCTAGGACAACTTGTGGAAAACAAGGTTGCAAGACAAGCGTGTCCTTGCATTAAAAATGCCAGACGGGGGGCGTGGCAAGCGTGCCCACGCCCGCGTCAACGGACCTGCGGGTCCAGAGACGCCCACAGGGCCAGACCGCGGGTCCGGGCCCTGGTGTGAAGCTGAGAGCGCGCTCCCAGTTCATGTCCGGAGGGCTCCCAGCGGGGAGGGCTGTCCGGAAGGCCTAAGCGAGCTAGGGCTTAGAAGGGTCGGGTGGGTGGGTTTCAAAACGAAACCAGGACTGCGAGTCCTAAACGTGAGTTTGAGGGCTAGGAGCACCAAATGGCGGCGGCGTAGGAGATTCACCCCCGACCTATAAACACAAGGGAAAAGAAAACCCTTAGCGTTAAAGGACTGCTCCTAGCCTCAAACCACAAAGAACCCTGAACCCAAAAGCCGACAGCAAGGCGCACACCTTTTTACCGGGTTGCTTGGGAAGGTGGCACTTTCCTAGGGCACTGCGGTGCACCTAGGACAAGGGGCGAGATGTTCCCCTCCTTCAGTGCTTCCCAAGGCAACCCCGGTAACAGGCGATTAAGGCCCAGGCGCAAAAGTCCCCCTCTTCAGTGCGGGGTTGCACCTGCGGCGGGACGAAGCACAGTGACAGACAATGCGAGGGCATTGCTGAACCCTCAATGCAGCGACTTTCATCAGTTCATTTTCTGATGCTTGGAGTTTGTGCGCAAACTCGGCCGTCGCAGCCAGGTATTCTGGCGGCGGAAAAGCCTCGCAGTGCGAAATGCAGAAGGCGAGCGCGCGGTGCTGTCGCAAGCCATACTGGCTTTCTGAAGCCGGATGGCTAGCAAGCCATATGTCACACATGCCCGGCGGCTGCAGCCAGATGTTCTGGGCGCCATGGTGCCTCTGCGGGGCAGAGTGTGATGCCCCTTCCAGCTTGTGCAAGGCTGGCAGGGCTGAAGCGCGATTGGCTGGGCGGTGGGCGAAACGCGCGAGGCGATTCCTGCTCAAATCGTCTGCCTAGTCATTGTAGCGCCCTGGCAGGTGAGTCGGTTGCAGAAGAACGTTTTTGGCATGCGCCCAAGAGGCGACAAGCTGCACAAAAACTTGCAAAGGCCAAGATGTTGTAAACAGCTTGTTAATGCCTGCTTCTGCTGCCGAGTTGTCGGTGCCTGAGGGCATGCTAAAAGAGTAGTGCCCGCCTCCAATGTGGCTATGCGTAGCCTGGAGGAGCCCCAGCTGCGCCAGGGTTTCGAAGCACGCGATGTAACGCTGCGCCGGCTTGACAAGGCAGGGCCACACTCGACGGACATCCTGCATAGTCCAGGTTTCTGCAAACCACACTGCCCAACCACCTATGCCCACGACTTCCTCTTCAGCGCAGGCATCTGCGGCTGCCAAGGCTTGCAATCGGGGTTGCTTTGCCAAAGGCTGTACGGGAGAGTGCTTGAGACACGACCCAGCCATTGCAGGCAGGCTTGGCTAGCTTTGGAAAGGGTGGTGAGTGAAGGGGTTGTTGGGGTCCGCTATGCAAACCCACGTAGGCTTGCTGGTGCTCGGAATGCGTGGGATGTCGTCAAGGCAGTGCGCGGCGCTGCCTGCGACCTCCAAAATTTTGGAACCGGCCGAAAGCCAAAGGCTAGGTAGGCCGATGCTCATTTTCAAATCTTTAAAGATTTTCGAAAGGCCGGCCACAGTTGTGGCTGGATGGAGCGCATGGAGCCTGGTGGGCTATGCAGGTCGGCGTACAGCGGCGCCATCCAGGATCGCAAATGCAGGGCTATGCTGGTGGCCCAGATGAGCAACCCAATGCACTGCTCCAGTGTTTTGCGAAGGACCTTTCTTTTGCCCAGGAGGGCCGCGATGAGTTCCTCTAGCTTGACCAGCTTGGTCTGCATGAGTTGGATGGTGTCGTGGGCGAAGTTAATTTCCCAACCGCACCACACAAGGCAATCTTGGAACTGTGCCTTTTTCCAGGAGATTGGTGCGGCTATAGCACAGAAGAATAAAGCCACCAGGGCGAACATCTCTGGTGCTTGGGCGCGGAGCAGGGCGCATAGAAGATCAGAAGATCATCCACAAACAGGAATGCTTTGCGCGGCTGCCACGCGAGCAGGCCGTGGACCTGGCGCAGCAGGAAGGCGGCTGTGCGCTGCCACCAGTAGGCCGAAAAACGCCCGCCAAAATGGCAGACTCTATAGTGATATAGTCTGCCTTGGAAGGCAAACAGAAGAAGGCCGTGCTCGTCTGGGCGAACTTGGATTTGTTTGTGGGCGGCCTTGAAATCAATGCTGGCACCCAGGAAGGCTCCTGGTGTGTCACCCGCTTGGGTGGCCAATGCCAGGTCGGAAGCCATCGGAAGGCTAAGGCGCTCTGGCAGGTAACATCTAGTGTTCACCTGACACACCGTGCTATCAAGAACTAAGCGAGGCTCTTTGTTTTCAGCGAAGACCACATTTAATTTGCCAACCGCGACACCTAAGGGCCATTTTTTCTGCGCCTCTGCGTTTGTCAAGTCGGTGGCGACGACCCAATTATTAGAAATTTCTTTATCTAAAAGGCCTTGCACGATTTGCCTGCTACACGGCATAGGGCCTAAGTCTGGGTCCCCCCATGACTCCGCGAGTTGGCGCAGCAGGTGCAGACGGTAAGGCTGTCCGTTGGAGGGACTCAAATCGAAAGGAGTTGGGATTTGGAGGGCTTCGTAGGCAATGCCGGACGGCTTCGGTGCATTCCTGCTCCGTTAAGAACTGAGTTCCCCTGGCTAACATGTGCTACTATGCGTGGCACCATGCCGCGCTCATGGAGCCAGCGAAGCCAGGGCGCGGCTACGGCTTGGAGCGGGTGGTCGGGGTTCGGGCAGTACCAGTCTGCAGTTGAATGCATGCCTGCACCGTCGCAGACAGGGAGTCGGCACGGTGCGAGACTGGGCTGCGCCGGAAAGGTGCTGTGCAGGTGCAGCGCACGCTTCACGACTCCTGTTGGAAACCCTTCCTGCGCCGACTGCCGCCAGTTGACATGCCAGTGTTTCTGGATACTCAGCGGTCAGTGTGCTGAGAAAGACTCCATTTTCGACCGCTCCAGCAATGCTTGTGTGCTTGTATGTGTGACTGCAACGTGCTGCCAGGCCTTGGATACGAGGGCTATTGCATCCAAAGGCCCATGACTTTGCAAACGTTTTTCCATGTTGACAGGCGTCGACCCATACAAGGCTACACTGATGCTCGCGGAGCATGTGATGAATAGCTTGGCTATCCTGCAGCCTCTTCAACTGTGAGGGCGACAGGCCGGGCACGCCGTTCATGTGTTGCGGCGTTCGGAGTGCTTTTGGGCCGCCGGGTCTGAGTTTCAATCTAAAGTACTCCTTGCAAGGCGGGGCCAGCATGATGAGGGCAATTATTCCCGACCAACACAGCTTGAGCAGGGCTTCGAAGACTGCGTTGTCGAGGATATCGTGCGCCTGGTTGTGGTCCAGGTCAAAAGGCTCGAAGCAATCGAAGCCCAGCCGCACGGCTGCCGTAGTGACCGGGTGCAATCGGCCAGCGAAAACATCCAGCATAAGCCTTTCCCGGAGTTCCGCTGAGTGCTGAGGAGTGCGGGAGGCGCAGCCTGGCTGTGCTGGGTTGGCACATGGCTGAGGCTGCTCTGGCGGTGGAGTGCGCGCAAGGCAAGGCGAGGCGGCTGTGCCCGACCTGTGCCGGCCCAGGATCCGGGCTGCATCACGTGTGCTTGCTGTGATCCATAGCCGGATGCTTGAGTTGGCAATTCACGATGGCACACACGTGCGCGAACTGACACGAGTCTGAGGTGCACAGGCCGGTTTGATAGCGCTTGCAAATCTCACGTCCCTTGAATGACGTGCGCCAATCGGCCTTGGGCTTTGGCGTTGGGGAGGCTCGCGAGGCTCTTTTCGACTTGCCTTTTCCCTTCTTGCCCGGCCGGGAGGGCCGCGAGGGCCGTGCGGGCTCACTGGAGTGCCGGCGCTCGCGCTTTGTGCCTCTGTCCCGAGGTGCTGAAGGGCGAGGGGGCGGCGCGATGGGAGCCTTGGCTATCTTGGGTCGCAGCTGCAGAAGGGCATGCGTGTCGTTGCGCATGTACGTCATCTCGTACAATGCATCGTCCAGGCTCCACTGCTGTGTGAGCAAATCTGACAAGGCGGACCAGAGCTTTCTGTCTGCGGAGAGGAGCTCTGTTGTGGTAACTGTGCGGGTCCCAGATTTGAGTCCGGCTGCGTAAG